TTTGGAGCCCGAATATAGATCCTAACTTTGACCTAACCAACTTTGAACCGTTCCATTTTTAATTCGTTTCGTCTTAATCATATTTTAATTTTATTCAAATTATTTAGAGTGTTACTTTTATTGAGGAATTTTACAATGTTATATAGTATTGGTGCTATAGGTTTTTGTCTTTATGGTACAGTTTGAAATTGTACATTTACGTTATGGTACAACTTCAGGTTGTACCTAAACTTTTTGTACAAATTCTTTTATGGTACAACTTGAACTTGTACCTTTATGTGATGGTACAACTTCAAGTTGTAAAGTTGTACCATAACATAAAGATACAAATTTTTTTATGGTACAACCTAAACTTATACATTTAATGTTATGGTACAACTTCAAGTTGTACATTAAAACACCAATACTATATAGCATAGTAGAAGTGCTCTACTTTTATTACATAATAGTTTACCTCTATTCAAATAATAATTAGATGGAACCACTATTACTTGAATAATAATTTACCTCTATTTATCAGGTCAAAGTATGTTTCTCAAATATTGAATGAAAACTTAATAGTTCTTTAAAATGTATATTCTCGTGGTTGAGCCGTCCATTCTGCGATTGATTTTAGTATGTTCTTTTTTTTAATAATGGTGATATATATTGATTTTGATAATTATGTGCTACTGAAGAGGTTTGAACCCCATATTATTGGCTATTCCAAACCCTTGTTAGCTTGGTATGTTCTTTAATACAAGAAAATTTAACTGACTAAGTTCTTGATAGATTAGTGTACGCAATTCTTAACCTTTCGTGTCTAGAATCATGTGGAATCTATACCCCATAATTTGTATCAATAATCTTCTTAGATTAATGTACACAACTCACGTTATAGATTCAATTACTTCCCATTTTTATTATCACAATATCTATAGATGATGGTTTAAGAGTTTAGTTAGTAATAGTGACTATGCCATTGTCTATAACAAACTTTTTTTTATAGTTTTATAGAGCATGCCTAATTGGTTATCGTCGTTTGGAAAACCTATCATAAGCTATCTCATCTCAATAAGGTCACTCGAACTATCTCAAATGTAGGTTATTTCACATTATATAGCATACACCTAAATTTAGAAAGGGGATACTAGTTATGAGATATAAAGTTATAAACATTAGAACGAGAAAACAATTCAAACAACTAAATTTAATAAGAAATACCTTGATATAATTTTGATTAAAATATTTTCTTACGATTAATGATTATTAGTTTTAGTATATTCTTTAATATAAGGAAAACTTACATAACTAAATTTTTGATAGATTAATGTACAATATTCTTAATCATTCGTGTCTAGAATAATGTGGAATCTATACCCTAAACTCTATATAAAAATATTGTTAAATTAATTTGCAAATTTCACATTATAAATCATATAGATGACAGTTTAAGAGTTTAGCATTTAGTGACTATGTCATTGCCTACAATAAACTTTATTATAGCCTTATAGAATCAATTATAGGAGATATCATAAGTTATCTCTTTTGAATAACATTACTCAAGCTATCCCAAATGCAAGTTATTTCACATTATATATCATATAATTATTTATTTATCAATTTGATTCTTCCAATTTTGACAATTTTCAAATGATGGTTTATGATTTTTATATTTAATAACTAAGACATTATCTATAGTAACTTTTATTATCGCCTTATAAAGAATACCATTGACCTAGTTATATGAACAAATTATATATTTTTATGTAAACAATTACTACAAGAAAACAAATACCTAATTATAAATTACAAGGATTTACTCATGACAAAATTCTTATATTAAAAATACCAACAACAAGAAATATTATTTATGAGAAATTATTATCATACTAAAACTATATAAAGTTATTTCTTTTTAAATTTAGTCACCTAAAATATTATACTTTCATGTTTCTAAATTTAATATTTATATATTGGTAATAAATATTAATATTTTTTATTAGGATATGAATTACTAATATTATAATTTATTAATTTAGTTAATAAGTATTATTAAATGGAGGGAAAATCCCCACTTCAAAATTCACGATTTAAAGGTCCAAAAGTTTTAATTAAAAATTCCCCTCATAAATGCCACAATATTTTAATTTTAAATTTGAGTGGGTTGTTCTTAGGTCCGGTTGGTTCATGGGTTGGATAGGGTTATATGACATGGAGGGTTTAAACGATCCATGTTGGTCGAATTTTCACTTTATTCGGGTTAAATTAGGCATATTAGGGGATTCTGTTAGTCACGTCAGCTAAAAATGACTTCATTAACAAAGATCGACGGAAGGTAACTGTCAATGACTTGACTTGAACTATTGAGTAAATCCTAGTGACCTCGAACAAAATCAAAATTTTCTAGTAGTAAACGTGAAACAATTTAGTAATCCAGCTACCGAACTTGCAATTTACCCTCTATGGGCCAAAAAGTCTTTGATGGATTTGAACTAGGATCATGGGAGGACAAGACCCTTATCAATTAATTTACTTTCAAAATTTTTACCTAGATTTCAAATTAGGGCTATTACCCTCCAGACTCCACATGGCTCCTGAGAAGTTTGGACAGAATAGTCACCACTCACCAGAGAGTTCATCAACGAGTGACATTCTGTCCGTCGTCCCGACAACCCCGATTAAAGCAATAACACACGTAACCCATTTGGAAAATCAAAGCTAATTATTAATTGAGTAATTTTTGTCCGGATTAATCGAGGTATTAATGTATTATCATGGCAATGTCAAAGGAAATCAAACTCATTTAGTTGTAATATTGATCAAGAATATACCCACAGGCCACAAGTCACAACTCACAAATGATAGTACCAATGCTGTAGTTGGTTAATTTTGTCATGGAAAATAGGTCGAGGAACAAACTAAAACTAATTGATTAAGTACGAAGAAAAATTAATACCAATCTGTTCAATTCACTCGCTATTTACTAAGATTTTTAAATAATTGTCAGGGAATTAATGAATTTAGTGCATGACAAAAGGTTTGGCCGCGGTGTTTAGTTTGGAAGATGTGATGGTATGTGTGTTAATCATGAATATGTATTGTGATTGATAGCACGAGTAACCTCCACTACAAGAAAAACAACTTTTAGTGACTATGATGATTTGCCGCCATAAGGCATAAATCTGCCTCTAAAGGTCTTTAACGGCACACAAATATGTGCAGTGAATACGGTAGCCGCTAAAAACAATTAGCGACATAATTTAGCGGCAAAAGTATATACGCCCCCAATACCATGTTTAAGGGCAAATAAATGTGATTCCAAAGGTAATGCATAAATGCCGATCATACCACGTTTGAAGGCAGATGGATGAGTTGCTAATTGCAAGATTTTGTGGCAATTAATTGCCAACTTACATCCTTTCTCCAACTCATATATTAGCTGCTGATTGAACTTCCTTTCTCCAACTTATATATTAGCCACTGATTAGTTTAGTTAGGGGCTGTTTAATGGCCTCTAAAATTATTTTTATTAGCGCTAAATATCATTGCTTCTAACTTTAATCTCCAACATAATTAAATAAAATTGAGAACAAAAATAAAAACATAGACAATTCTTTTGCTTGTGATATATCGTTAACAATAATTACAATACACTGGCAGTTAACTATAAGTACTTATACACTGGCATCGACGAGATAGAACTTAATTAGAAGTCCCAACTGGAATATGAGCTAATAAAAACTAGTCATACAAAAGAGTTCAGATATGTTGAGATTTCCTCAGGTATCAATCAATAGCATCTATGTTTGCAAATGATTAAAGGCTGGTCATCTTCTTGTCGAACTTCACAAGTACACCTCTCTTCTGTGTAACTAAAGTTGAACTCTTGTGCTTTAGTGAGTGATCTACAATATGAAAAATTATCAAACTCCTTTAGTAAGATATATACAGTACCCTCATGCTCACAATGAACAAGTATTCCCAGTATTGGATTCTATGAAAGACATACAATGTACAACACACAAGCAGAATGAGATAGCTAGATGAAATTACGCAGAAGCTGTTGTAGCTCTGCATATCCTTGGTAAATAGCTTGCAGATTCACTAATTCAACTGCAACTCATGAACATGGCCAAGAACAAAAAAAAAAAAAACTAACAGACTGATCATGAATTAAAATGTTAGGGGCTTGCAAAAATTGCACAGTAAGAAACATTGGCATTTACCAAATCTGCAACCAATGGACCATATGTCCTCTGCAACTGATTAGCGGGTACCTCCTAAGAGAACTTCAGGAGCTGCAGCAACAAAAATGAGAAGAGAAGGATGTCCCTTTTCAGCCTTACCTCTATTGTGTACTTCTTAACAAGAATAGTGAATGCACGAGCTAGTTGCAACCATAAGCATATACTTTTATCCATTAGCAGACTGTGGACTTAAGAGTTAAAATCCCTACACAGGAGAGCAACCACACGAGAAGGCATTAACAACCATTAGTAAAAGAGCATAATTAGATTAAACAAACATTTCGAGAAAGGGTTTCAAATACCTCTGCATGATTCCAAACCCGTGACAGAATGCAACTTCCCTACACAATTTTTTTTTATGAAGGTGAAAATTCATTACCAACAAAATACGCCAGAGGTGTACAGGAAAAAAAAAAGTTTAACAAGATCAAGAAAGGAATCCATCGGAAACAACAAATGGAAAGGAAATCACAAGGCCACGAATAAGACCACCCCGGAAATAACCCAAGAAATTGCTTCCCAAGAACATCAGACGAGGAACAAAGGGCATCTACCCGATGCCACCTCATGACAACATCATCCTTACTCCATTGATACATCAAGCTCTGAACATGGTAGGATAGAAAAGTGGAATTAATTATCAGTGATAACACTAGAATAGGAAAACTTCAGTGACACAAGTGGGATTATGAATTACTAATATACATTGTTTTTTATGGGCACTACCGCACTAGTATACATTGACATTACCTACCAAATAGAATTCCTCTACAGAATCCTTGAACTTAAGGTTTCCAAACATCAAAGCGATAGGTGCATAACCTTAGAAGAAAAAGAATCATCATGGAACAAATAAAGGATTTAATAAAAATAAAATAAAAACAGGTGCAAGGAAATCATTGTAGAAGAACAAGAATTCAGAGAATCATAACGCCAATTGCTTAAACCCTTACACCCAAACCTTGTCATTCGTCGTCAATGCAAATATCAACCTCGATCTCGCTCTCCTCGAAACCCCCAAATCATTATCGTTTGTAAAATCTAATTTTTACATGAAAGAAACGTCAATCCTCGAGATCTGATGGAACTAGGGGGAAATGAGGCAAAGTGAGTGGGAAGTGGTTGAAGCCAATATAACCCTAAAATCGAAAATACACTTGTGGATTGGTGATCGAATCGATTTGATCATAGAGGACGTAAGAAATACGACGAGGAATACCGTCGGGTGTATAAATCAGAAGGACAAGAACTGAGACGGGAGTTATTTGATGGTGGTGAACGTAATAGTAACGGCGAGAAGGAAAGAAACACGGCGAGGAGAAGGCTTGACAAGGAATTCTAGAGAAGTCGGGAACTGATTACTGTGCGAACTAGGGGTCGAGGGCCGTAGGCGTAGGGCGGATAGAACAATGAGGACATGAGGGGAAGGATAAAATAAAATACAAAGGGAATAAATAATAACTAAAGTTCCCATCTTTAAAAATAAGAATGCCTTGTTCATTCTTTCTTTCTCTTCGTTTTAGTGGCAATTTTTTTTGCATGTAATCATATAATACTTTTATCGGCAATTCAATGTGCCTCTAGTATTTTTCCCCTCAACGAGTTTCCGTAAACGGCCCCTAAAATAATAACTTACATATAATTTTAAAATAAAAAAATGTATTAGAGATAAATGATATAACTTTTAAAGACAAATAAGTAAATTGTCGCTATATACAAAGTTTTAGGGGCTGATATATAAAGTGTCGCCACTATTAGCCGCTAAAGCTCATTTTTCTTGTAGTGCTCGATGTATAGATTCAAGATTATTTTATCATTCCTAATTGCTCGATAAACTCAGAAGAGTAAAATCCATAGTATGAATATGACGAGTAACTAAGGTATCAAATTGTCACCAAACTAGGCTTCATTGAGAACATTATTAGGAATATGTGAATTTTTGGAAAGAGAAAGTCCTATATAGTTTTTATGCACACATGCAAAATTGTAAATTTAAGTCGTTTCTGAAAATTTTCACAGTAGGATATGAGAATAATTGTCTTTACTATGTGTTGCAACAAGGATATATAAATATGTTATTTATTGTTACTAGTTGGAAGAGGATGGGAAATTATTGACAAGACGATGCGAACAATGATAGAAACGAGAGAAGAGTAAGATTAGAATTTTGTTGTTTGAGCTGGAGGGGCGGTAATCGCTATATATGCCAGAAGAGAAATATATATTAATATCAATACATAGCTTTATATATGTATTAATTAATATTCATACATGTTTCTCTAGGAACATCACTATAATTAAGTATTGCGGTTATATAATTAATCCTTAATTATTCTTCAATTCTATAGTTAATTAGTCTACAACATCCAACGAAAACACAATGAGCTGCACTTTGAGAACTTAGAAGGCTAAATCAGTGGCAAACCCAAGTGAAAATGAATAGGTTGTCAATTGAAACCTCAAATGAAAATTGTGAACTAAAACGTTACGTTGGGTCAATTTTATCTTAATAATGATAGTATTTAAATTCGAGAATATTTAGCAATTCTTAGAAATATTGATCTACCGCTGAAATTTTTGGGTCCGCCACCAAATAAAATTCGGATTGTTGGTCGTTTAGCTATATTTTTGACGCGTGCATAGACAGCAATTATGCTCATCTAGCTAGCTTATTAGTTTTGTGGATACAACTTATAATTATTTATTAATTACTCAATCCATGTTGTTTTGCCCGTAAGACAGACGAGGAGAAGCCACCAAGAAGAGGAATCTAAAAGGAAACCAAGGCCCATTTTTTGTCGCATTAAGTTTTACTTGACAGACTTCACGTCCAAGCAATTAGATTAACTAAAGCATGTACTTAATTGGCTTAATATCTCAATTAAATACTTTTCGATAGTTAGTTCCCTTGGTTTCTCAGTTAATTAATGTGTATGATTGGACTCTATCTGTACTAATTTATCCATAGGGACGGCAAGTACTGGAAAAAACTAAATTTGTTCTTCACCAAGGATTTAGTTGTAGCGGTTTATTCGAGGTATTTTCACTTCATAATTATGTATACCTTCACATTAATTAACCTACACGAGCGCATAAATTCAGTTTCGGTTTAATAGTACATCCCATTATTGCTATGTAGTCAGATCATATACTTGTTCAATTTATCTCTCCCAATCTGAATCTCATAAGACAATAACCTGTTGTCTTGAAGGTTCATCTCTACAAATATAATCCAATCGCGTCCATTCATTAATCACATGAGTACGATAGAACGAAACTAGGAAAGTATAGAGAGAGAAGTAAAAGGCTCTTTGCTTGATTCTTAGATTCAAATTATGGAACACATCTCCTTGATGATGTAATATGCTTAGCTTGTACCTCAATGGGATTCATTTCCTTAATTACATTATGTTCTTAATTAGTAAGTACTTAGTTGTAATCCCTTACACGTGTGTGTGGTATATATTTAATTATAATTATAGCTAGCTCCATATCGTTTCATCCTAGGAATACACACTGCCTTGTTCCATGGCCAAACAACAAGAAATATGCATAGACCTATATACTTAATTATTGACCAAGCTACGTACAAACTAAAAAGAGTTAATTAACCAAAGCCAATTAGTCATAGTTATGAGTAACAACAACAATTAGTATACAATAATTAAATATATAGTAACCATTGAGATTACGTTGAAGCCAAAGAAGAGAAACTGTCGTAACACTTGAGGATTGTAGCTGTGATGGGGAGATGATGATGATCATCATCACATTATCAACAATGTAGGTTAGAGCAAAGCAAGTAAACTCCAAACACTTTGCCCACAACAACATTTTGGTCCCTCTTTTCCCCATCTCTCCCTCCCCTATTTAACTCTTTTTTCTTCTTCTTCCTATCATCATATCTCACCACACTACTACTCTAGCTCTCTTCACTAATGCCATGACAACCGAGCTCGGATTCCTAGCCCTCGCCCAGCTCCAGAAGATTGCTCAGTCGTCGTCACAGAAGACCGAAAATCGAGACCACGAAAATCGAAATCAATCTCATCATCATCACCAGCAGCAATATCAGCATCAGCAGCAACGACAACAACTGATGCTGGCATCAGGATCAGCCGTCGCGACACCTCCAACCACGTGGGTGTGGAACCCTAGGAGTGGCAAGACAGGTCAGGACGAGGAGAACGAGGACGAGGAGGAGTCGTGGGAGGTGAAGGCGTTCGAGGAGGATGCCGGGAACATCATGGGCAGCACGTGGCCGCCGCGGTCCTACACTTGCACCTTCTGCCGCCGGGAGTTCCGGTCGGCTCAGGCTCTCGGCGGCCACATGAATGTCCACCGCCGTGATCGGGCCAAACTCCACCACCAAACCCTACTTCCACCGCCACCGCCTCCTCATAACCCTACCAACCCATCATCGGCCGCCGCCTCCTCCTCCTCCACATACATAATCCCACCTCCGGAATTCTCCACCGCCGCCGGCGGTTTGTGCTTGCTCTACCAATTCCCAAACCCTAATACCCACCACCACCACCACGCCGCCGCCGGCGGAGGCTACAACTCCGCCATCTCCTCCGCCGCGACCAATGCATGCACCACCACCGATGCGCCCTCCACTCTCCTCTCCATGTCGCCGTACGCTCAGCACCGCCATAACCGCGGCCAATCTCGTAATCCTTACCCGCCGCCAAGGCGAAACAATTCGTCATCTTCTCCTCCCCAATATTATGATTTCGACGGCGGCGGCGGAGGAGGACAGCTGGCGGAGGCGGAGGGGAATGAGAAGGAGAAGGGAAGCAGTACTAGTAGTCATTGGAATGAGGAGGAGGAGGTGGATCTGGAGCTGAGGCTTGGCCAGAGATCCACGTCATCCTCATCATCAACTTAAAAAGACGGGGGCAACAAAGGATAAGAAATTTCTTTCATTAGTTATCTTTCTTTTTTTTTTCTTCTTCTTCTTCCTTTTATTGTTATCATTATTACTATTATTATTTTTTTCGGTTTCTAAAACATTTTATGTTATAGTTTTTTTTTTGATAATTTGGAGCGGACATTTTGTTGAAGTGAGTGAAAATGAGGGGGAAAGGGGAAATGGAAGAGATTTATTTTTGTGTAGAAAGACAGTTATAATAAAATTCTATCAATGTTTGAAGACATTTTTGTTATGTTATCTACCGTTAGAGAATTATAGCCTTCTTAACTAAAATTTGTAGCAAATTTAGAAAGTATAATAAGATTTTAACCCTCTCCCCCAATTACTACGATTAGAAGATCAGTCCTCCTTATTTAGATATCTGCCTCGCCATCAGGGTTAACGGGTGAGTAAATTTCGATACGTAGTACTTATTCGTATTGATAACGACGATGAAGATTATGAATCATTATATATTCTCTCAATCTGATCTCACTTCTTTCTCACCATTACAAAGCTGGAAGTAATGATATAGTGGAAACTAATTAAGAAGAAGCCAACATGTAGAACAGGAATTCAGAAAAAAGTTTTCACGATGGACCATAAATGAGAACCCATGATGGGTTTTTTCGTTTTGGAAATTGCAGAGGAAGGGATAAGTTTGCATTGCAGAGTCGTTTTCCACTGCCGATTTCGCCAACGTTGGGTCTCTCTCTCTCTCTCTCTCTCTCTGAATGCAAATCTCTGTCTGGTCTATATTGCATACATATGGTGGTATTAATTTCCGTGGGTGATAGTTTGAAACGGTCCCCCATTCATATAAGATAGATAGACCGATATGAATTTGGTCGCAGAAAAATACCCTACCGCGGACCCTATCTCTCTGGCAGACTCTGTCTAATCAGCTGAAATCGAGGTGTACGTACTTATTGTGAAGAAGTTTGATGGATGGATCGATCTGACTTTGTACTTAAACTTTGAGTTTGGGATTGGCTTCAAACTTTAGAGGGTAATATGATTATTGAAATTCGTATACAAGGTTTTAGCCCTTTGTATATGTTGTAACTTTAGCCGTTTGGTGATAATCATGATTAGAGAAGAAACAAGCAGGGTACTGTTTTCACATGTGGATAATTACTCTTAAGTTGGTCAATTGATGTTAATGGAGCAAGGGATATATAGAACGTACTCCGATCCTCGAAGTTTGGTGGAAACTTGTTGTGAATGAAGGCCGAGTATATTTTACTTAATTCAATCATGAATATCTATTCAAGGCTTTCTATTTTGCGAAAGAAACTCCTTGAGAAACTTTACTTGGGTACGTACCTCGGTCCAAGATACAGTCAGTAACCAGTGGTTACTGACTTGTCAATAATTGATCTGGGCCGCAGATCTAGGAGCCCAGCTCATCGTGCGGTTAGCCGGACGCGGGGAAGGGGAGGGGTATTTTTGTCCATTTTTGAATTTTTTTTAATTTATCCAACATTTAATAGTTGGCTTTTCAATGAAGGAGAGAAAAATGATCTTTTCTCTGCAACTCTTCTTTCTCTCTCCCAATATTCTTCTCCTGATCTAGATTTGCTCCCTTCTCTTATTCTTTTTTTTTTAGCAATCGACGAAGAAAAATTGCAGCCTCCCTCTTTCATTGCATTTCTTCTCTTCATCAAATCGTTGGCCTCAATTCGGATTTTTCTCATTTTTTGGCATTTTGGTGTTCTTGATTTTAGAGGAGGAAATAAGAGGAGATAGAAGACGAGTTTTGTTTCTCCCTCCTTCTGTTTTTTTTCTTTTAGGCAATATATATTGATATACCATACTATACCATATGGTATTGGGTGGTAACGAAATATATATTGGTATTACCACACTATACCATATGGTATTGGGTGGTAACGAAATATATATTGATATACCACACTATACCATATGGTATTGGGTGGTAACGAAATATATATTGATATTACCACACTATACCATATGGTAATGTATGGTATTGTGAGATATCGAAATATATATTGATATTACCAGACTATACCATATGGTATTGGGTGGTAACGAAATATATATTGATATTACCACACTATACCATATGGTATTGGGTGGTAACGAAATATATATTGATATTACCACACTATACCATATGATATTGGGTGGTAACGAAATATATATTGATGTGGCAAATTCATACCATATTGTATGCTCTTATTTAATACTAGTCAATACCATATGGTATAGTCGATACCATATGGTATAGACTGGTAATAACTGGAAAAAAATTTTGTGTAAAAAAAAATCAAAGTGGATATCATTTTGAAGATCATAATTAATCTGATCTAACTGTGCAAAAAAAATTAAATTTCGACTTAAAACGAGTGAGAAATCGTCCGTTAAAGATTAAGAGAAGGAAAATTAAAGGTTTTTCGAGGAGAGAGAAGGAGGTCCTGATGTGGTCGGTCAAAAGTTAGCGCGTCAGCAATGAATAGGGGATAAGTGCATTTTACCTTACTGCTTTTTAGCATTTAATTTAAATAAAAAAGTAACTGACACGTGGAAAGAGGAGAAGGGGGTTACTGATGGGTTACTCACCCGATCTGCTCCTACGTACCTCGGTCCTTAGGCCAAGAAAGGGGAATTTTTAATTACATGTAATTCCCTAATATAATGATGCCAATGAATTACTTGGCATAATGGTTATCGTGTTCAGCATTCTTAAGTCGACGTGAATAAAGAACATTCGGTACACTCTCGGTGAATCGTGGTTTCTCTTTTTGTAATCTTCTCCAAGCTCGACTTCTGTGTTGACGGAAGTCTCACCCTTGAATTTTCGACGTGAATTTTGCGGAGGATCTTGATTACTCATAAAGAGTAAAGACCATGAACTCCTCTTCTTCATTTTCCTACACTTGAAGCAATCCTAGAGTAGACTCAATGCAAGGTTTCAAGATCAATTAACTCAATAAAAGTATGAGAACACCTAGATTAGAAAGACTAATAAGTAATAACACGTAATTTAGCTGTTATCACTTTCTCTTTCCAATTTTGAAAGCACAAAATATTTCTCGTTCTTTCTCTTTCCATAAATTAAAATCACCAAATTTGCCCCTTCTTTCTCTTTTTGAAAACTGAAGGCACCAAATTTCTCTTCTTGCTCTTCTTAAAAATTGAAAGCATCAAATTCTATATTTCTTACTCTTCGTTAAAAATTGAAGCACCAAAATTTTCACATTCTTTTTCTTCTGAAAAATAGAAACAAATTTCTTTATTCTCTCTTTCTAAAACGTTGGAAACAGCTATTTATTAAAAAAAAAGTTGGAAACAACTTCTTTTAAGATAATCAAATAAGCCAATATATTATTTTACTCTATTTATATTTAATCAATAAATAATTCATTATCAATATTTATTTATAATTTTTTGGTAATTTTGATTGATTTGTAATTTTCTAATGGTAAATTTATATATATATTTTTAATTTTGTAAGACATGATCATTTCAGATTTTAATTTATGTAATTTTCTTAAAAAATATAAAGTGAATTTCAGATTTTGAACTTCACTTTACGAAATGAAAAATGACTTCACCTATATTTCAAACAAAAAAATTCATCTTACAAAACTATATATTATATAGTCTAGTAATTATTCGTGTCAATCGGACGATTCAATCTTGGGTCTACCATATGATGGATAAATTGGATTGGAGTCAATTAAGTTGAGAAATAAATTGGGTTACTGATTAATCGAGTTCGATCAATCAAATTATGAGTCAATCGATTTGTGAGTCAATCACTTTATGAGTTGGGCAGTTTGAGGATTATTGAATTTTAGTAAACTGAAACTCTGGGTATACTGTATTTGATTTGAGACAATTATGTTTGCCGAGTCCGGCTTGGGAGCAATACTGGGCTGCCAAATCTAGCAAACAGACCGAGCCAAGTCCACCAATAGATAACCGAGACCAAAACAAAGCCCAGATCAGACTTTAGACATGTTAACTTCAACCCCTACGCAACATGAATTTTGCTTAGTTAGCACTTAGCAAGTGGTTTGCGCCCGCTTGGCTTGATAAGATAATGGTTTAATTATTATGTTAGGGTTCAACTAATGCTCACTCTGAGATAGTGATATGCTCCGCTTTCTCTGACCATCGACAATAACAAGAAAAACAATGATCAGTAAGAAAGTAAAAAATACATGGAATTACGTGATTTACTAATATAACATGAGTTTGCTATTCAACGAGCACGGAAAGAGGCAGTTTCACTATATTTGAGGATTACAAAGGAGTACGAGAAGCATATATAGTACTTCTCCGACGTCTTAACCCTAATATAATCTAGTAAATAATAAGGTTACAGATCATGTCCAAACCAGAAGGTCAAATGTGTACAAGCCCATACACTGATTCAAGTCACATCAACAATCTCCACCTTGACTTGAATCCTTCACCTGAAATCTCTTATGTACTCTGATCCTCCTCTCCATCCTGCCTCCAATGCTCCTGAGGGCGGATCATCCACTCAGGACATTCAACAAGTCAAAGCATTGTTGAAACTTGCAATGTGAAACTGGCTTTGTGAACATATCAACAGGATTATCGACAGTGTCCACCTTTAGCACCTTAATCCTCTTCTATGTTCTCAAAAAATGATACCTTACATCAATGTGCTTAGTCCTCTCATGATGGACTTGATCATTGGTCAAACATATTGCACTCAAAATGTTACAATACACCACTGCCTGATCGTGATGTAGACTCATATTAGCCCCTTCAACCATATTCCCTCCTTGGAAGCTTCTGTCAGCACCATGTACTATGCTTCTATGGTAACCAAAGTAACCGTCGACTGCAATGTCGCCTTCCATTTCTCCATAGAACCTCCAGGAGTGAATACATAACCGGTCATAGATCTCCTTGAACACCTCTGGCATAATCAGAATATGAATATCCTGTATCACTCCCAAAAACGGATCCCCACATCCATCGTACCCTCCAGGTAACAAAAAAAAAATCCTCTTCATAGCCTGCCAGTGTTCCTTCCTAGGTTGCACCATGAATCTGCTAAGACCCTAGCAACATGTGCAAGGTAAGGTCTAGTGCATACTGTAGTGTCACATCAAACTACCTATTGCACTAACATATGAGACTCGAGCCATGTACTCCTTCTAGCTTCAGACTATGGTGCATACTCTGAGGATAGATGGATATTTGAAGCACTATGAGTATTTAAAGGCTTTGTTGAAGACATCGCCAAACTTGGACAATATCTTCTGCATGTAGCTCTTCCGTGACAAGAAAAGCTTATTATGATCTCTTTCCCTGTAAATCTCCATACCCAAAATCTTTTGAGTAGCTCCCAAATTCTTCATCTCAAACTCAACAATGAGAATCCCCTTTAACCTCAGGACATCTTACTTCGGCTTCGTCGCAAAGAGCATATCATCTACATACATAACCAGATAGATCGTCGAAACATTACCAGCCTTGTCATGATATACACAATAGTCATATGGACTTCTCTTGAAATCCATCTCAAGCATGTATCTGTCAAACCTCTGGTACCACTGCCTCAGAGATTGCTTAAGTCCATACAAGGACTTCTTCAACTTACAAACATAATCTTATTTTCTTGGAACCTGTAATCCATCTAGTTGAGTCATATATATCTCTCCTTCCATGTAGAAAACTTGTATTTACGTCCAGTTGTTCGAGATCCACCTCTTCGGCAACCTGAAAGGAATACACAACCATATCCTTAAAGCCATACCTCCTCGGATGTATCCCTGCACCTGCTCTCCTCTGTATAATGAAAGCTATACGATTGAGCCTGTGCGCTGCACTCTGATGATTCTGGCCGATCAGAAACACCCAAATATTGTTATTCTCCACCTTGGTGTTGAATCTTTCTCTGCTTGAGAGTTTGTAGCTCCACCTGTTTATCAAAATTCCTACTATCTTCTAAAATAGTAACCTTCAACATGGGGACAAACATGGATTTCGCATAAAATATCAATATATCATGTTTCTACTAAGTATAACTCTAGGCTCATAAGGCGATCAACCAGACTCGATATCCCTTAAATCCATCCCCAAAACCTACAAAGTACCATTTTTAGCTCTTGGATTCAATTACCCTCATCCACATGATAGTAAACAGGACAACAAAAAACTTTCAGTAAAGAGTAATCAACATACTTATCATACCACACCTCTTAAGAAGTTTGACACTCGATACCTGTGGGAGGTCTGCAATTTATAAGATAGTAAGCAATGTTTACTGCCTCTTCCAGGAACCTTCTCTCTAGTCAATCATTGGAGAGAATGCACCTTTCTCTCTATGACAATTTCTCCTTCATTCGATCTACAATGCAACTATGCTATGAAGTGTCTCTAACAATTCGATGACGATCAATCCCTTCATCACTGTAGAATTCGTTGAACTCATAACTACATAACTCCAGACCATTATACATCAAAACATCTTGATCTTCTTGCTAGTTTGGTTATCCACCAAATTTTTTGACTGCTTCAACTTCTTGAAAGTTTCACTTTTCTGCTTCATAATGAATATCCAAGTAAACCTTAAGTAATCATCAATAACAAACATAAAATACATGATGCCTTCAATAGATTCAACTCTCGAAGGACCCCAACAATATGAGTGAAGGTAATCCAACACCCTTTTTGTTTGGTGGATACCCTTCTTGGGAAACTTACTAAAATGTAATTTTCCAAAGACACAGTGCTTGCATAATCCCAAACTATGCACCTAGTGACTGCACATAGGATCTCTCTTCCACTAAATCTACATCCCTCGTTCACCCATATGATCCAGTATCATGTGTCAGAGAATGGTCATATCTTACTAGTGAACCTCGAAAGACGCAACTGCACCGGAACCTGACAACACAAACCCTTGCAACGCATACAAGGTATCACGTTTTACACCTTTCAGAGTCTTTTGTA